ATACAAAGTAACGACGAAATTCATGGTATGAGTGGAGTGAGGGGGGGGGGATTAAATGGTCAACGTTTCAACCAAACAGTACTTTCAATCGTAAGTTCTTGTAAAGTTTATGAATTACAGCTTGCCAAAGATGATTTGATATGGTTTGTTGGTTCCAAGAAAATGTTTTTCCTTTCTGAAGTGGGAAGATCAATAATCATGGCTAGCAACCATTACTTTCGGATGATCGCTACACCGATCATCTAAAACTAATTTGAGTTTAGGTTACTCGTATTAATTAATTAGGTCTCTCCTGTTTCATTAAATTAATCATTATTAACTATGCTTTTATAGGAAGTTTGTGATGATATTCAAAGAAAATATATGATGGGAATACAGAATTCACAGTAACTAGACGTTCCAGCTGCAACACGTAATATAAGATTTGTTTGTTTTAGAGCAAAGCCACATTATACTGACTGCTGTGCCCATCGCGGGAATCGAGCCCCGGATTCTAGCGTTGCAAATCGGTAAACTTACCACTATCCCACCGGGAGGGGGGGTGATAAATGTGCTGGAACACTGAAACTCCGTTTCATTAGCCCCCTGATGGTTCAACGATAAGTCTGAGGGCTTATAACGCCAAAAAATTGGGTTTCGATAACCGCGGTGGGCACAGCGCATATAGCCCATTGTGTACCTTTATGCTTAACAAAAACAAACTTTCATAAAGTATAAATATCAATTCTGATAAAATTAAGTGTATCAGTTCAACACCCTCGTGAGGGCAATGCTCAAATATATTCCTCATTGATGTTCTTAACTTAAGAAATTATCACACAAAAACGGATTATTTCAATATATATATTTCAATTCTTTCCGAACTTAGTATATTGCTTACATTTTCAGTATATATGTGTGTGTATGTGTTCATGTTATTTAAGCAGGGATGCACGGGTACCCAGCCGGGTATTGGTCTACCCGGTAATACTCGGCTCCGGCCGAGTGTCGATGTTAGGCATCTAAGCCCTAATCCTTGTGGCAATTAACTCGGTACTGAAAGTTACTGTCAAAAATTGGTTTAGTTAAAAAAAAAGTGTTCCGAGCAACAAAAGCTGAAAGTCTGGGATTCAGAGGACAAAAGGGGTTAATAACAGGCATGGCTTGTTTGTTTGTTTTTGAATTTCGCGCAAAGCTACACGAGGGCTATCTGCGCTAGCCGTTCCTAATTTAGCAGTATAAGACTAGAGGGA